ATAAAAAAATCTTTCATCAATGCTGCCCTTAATTAAACGTGTCCTTGATTGCAAAACCAATTATTTATAATTATTTTACCGCTGCAGAAATGTATTGACGAAATAAAGATTATCTTAACAAAAAAATGCGCTTTGTTTTGTTTATATTCATGTCAATATAGAAAAGCAAAATGTATTTAAAGTCGATTAAAAATATCTTTCAAATAAACAATTATTTTATTATAACATATCTATGTTCAACAGCCATGGGAGGGAAATTGTCCGCTCTGACAACAGCGGGAGGGGAATTGTCCGCTCTGCTAAAATAACGGGAGGGGAATTGTCCGCCGTAAAAAAATAACGGGAGGGGAAATGTCCGGGTTGTGAAAAAACATTCAAATTTACTGGGAGGGGAATCGTCCGGGAGGGGAATTGTCCGGATACCTATTTATATAGATACAAAAAGTATGGTGAAAGAGAGGATTATAAGATTTTTTGTAAGTTAAGGAATCAAATTCAAAGAGATATAAAGACTGCTAAGTCAGAATATTTTACTAACAAAATAGAGGAAAACAAATTTAATCCTAGCAAACTCTGGCAAAACTTAAAGACTTTTGGATATAAAAATGACCAGAAGAAATCTTCAAATATTGTATTATCAATTAATGGGGAAAACTGCCATGACGCTGATACTGTTTCAAATTATTTTAATGATTTTTTTACAAGTGTTGCTTCTAAACTTGTTGAGAAATTACCTTCAAGTAAAAAATTGTATGATTTAGGGTCTGAAAAGCTTTTCAATTTTTATTGTAAAAGAAATCCTGATAGTAATATTTCAAATTTACAACATGTATCTGAAAATTTTGTTTTTAAGGAACTATGCAACTTAAATGCTAGTAAAAGCACAGGATTAGATGGTATTCCTGCCCGATTTTTGAAGGATGGTTCTAGTGTTTTGAAAATACCAATTACTTACATTGTAAATCTATCTTTTTCTGAAGGTAAAGTACCAGATGAAATGAAGTTGGCTAGATAACCACTTTACAAGAAGAATAGTGTCCTAGAAGTTGGTAATTATAGGCCTGTCAGTATTTTAAGTGTAGTTTCAAAAATTTTAGAGAAAGCTGCTTATGTTCAACTTGAAACATTTTTGGTTTCCAATAATTTACTGTATGAACACCAGTCTGGTTTTAGAAGGTGTTATTCTACAGATAGCTGTATTATTCACTTACAAGATGTTATAAGAATTAATACTAGTAAAGGGCTATACACAGGTATGGTGATGCTTGACTTGCAAAAGGCGTTTGACACCATAGACCATGATATTCTTAGTGGAAAGTTAGAATTAATGGGTGTTCAGTCTATTTCCTGGTTCAGATCATATCTTTCAGAACGTTCACAAATTGTTAATATAGGAAATACTTACTCTAAATCAAACAGTGTGACCTGTGGCGTCCCCCAAGGTAGTATTCTAGGGCCGTTGCTTTTTCTGTGCTACGTAAATGATATGATTTTAAGTATTGATAATGATTGCAAGTTAATACTGTATGCAGATGACAGCACTATTTTATTCTCACATAAAGACCCGAATTTCATATCAGAAAAACTTGGGACAGCCCTAGAAAGCTGTTCAGAATGGCTTGTAGACAATAAGCTGTCACTCCACCTTGGTAAGACAGAATGTATGCTGTTTGGCCCCAAAAGAAAATTACAAAAGCAAGAACAATTTACTGTTACATGTAATGGTCATAGCATAAAGGGTACTAATTTAGTCAAGTATCTTGGTCTATATATCAATAGTGATTTATCTGGGGAAACTATTGTTAATAACATTATTTCTAAAGTGAATGCCAAGCTCAAATTTTTTTTACAGGCAGAGCAGACTTTTAGATACTAAAACAAAACAGCTTTTATGTTCAGCCTGATTCAGTGTCATTTTGACTACTCTTGTTCCTCTTGGTATGAAGGTTTATCAAAACATTTGAAAAGAAAGTTACAAATTACTCAGAGTAAGGTATTAAGATTTGTCCAAAACTTAACGCCCAGAACTTCTGTAACAGTGCATGAGTTTGAAAAATTAAATTGGTTAAATGTAGAAAACAGAGTCAAACAGTTAAGACTCAATCATATGTATAAGATTTTTTTACAAAAAAGAGTCCATCATACCTTAGAGCCGACTTTAGATGTTGTGCTGATGCAAGATTTTACAAAACTAGATCAAGCAATTTTAATTTTATTGTCCCCCAGTGTAATTCTGTGATGAAACAGACCTTTTATTATAATGGAATTAAAGACTGGAATGATCTGCCAGAATATATAAAATCCATTAATAATTTTGTGCAGGGAATTCCCCAGGCGCTTTTAGCGCATCGGCACCGATGCGCTAAAATTTCAGAACAAGAAATCCCGATGCGCTTAAAATTATCACAGCGCTTTAAAAAATGACCGATATTCCTTTTTATTGTGTCTATAAGTTAACCCCAATTAGCCAAATAAACAAGCCAATATACATGTCCTGTGTAGATAATTACCTGAGGCGTATACACAACCCGATACACTGATTGCCTTTAGACTGTGTGACGTCACAGACACCTGTCATCGATGTCTGCAGACGACTGTTGGTGCACTTTCAGGTGTTGTCAAATACCGTGTATTGAGATGGGTGCAATTTAATCGCGGCATGTGTGATATTTACATGTTTCAGGTAGGTGTAATAACTTTTATTGTTTTGATAATATAATTGGCATTAATTGACATGCGATATAACAGTTTGATATTTAGGGATGAATGGGTTAATTGTCTTGATATAAGTGTAATGTTCAATTTCATCTTTCACTTTCTTGTGATCGTTACGTCTAAGCAGTACTGTAGTAAAATAATATGTCTAACATGAATAAGGGAAGCCTAGTTCACTATCAATTTTAAGAGTTTTTTTTGTGAGCAATGTCGTTGAAACTGTCAGGATCATTTTGCTTTTTACTATATACATGATAATCATATTTTACTTGGATTAAACTGCATAGATATTCAGAAATAAATTTGGTTGATGGCTACTTTAACATTGAAAACATTTACGACTGTTCATTATCAACTTGCAACTGAGTGAAAACAACAACAAAAACTTTACATCAACAATCCCACTTAGTGACAGCCAATTGGTCATTTTGTTTTTTAATTAAAAATATCTTGTAATCTGTTTCTGTTCACTGAATCCCCAAAATGAAAAAAATATTAACTTTGCAGGCCCTCTTTAATCGAGCCTGTTCATGGATGGCTTTGTGAAGTGCAATCTACTGTCCTACCCCTTAGCATTGGTTTGTCAGGACATACAGGAGCTGGCCAGGCACTTTGGTGTAGACATGGAGCAGTGCCGCAGCCACTGGCACCAGGTACGTGCCAGTCTAGAGGTGACTGATCAGTCAGCCGACCAGACCATGACCTGGATTACTGGCAACCTTTCTACCAGTCATCCAGCTCTTTACAGAATTGCTGCTGTGGGTCTCCTCCTCCCAACCTCTACTGCAGGTAATTATTATTAAATTCATTCACTCTTGATCATTAATGAAATTCCAATGACAGTTGCAGATGTCTAACACTTTGCTAGAAGTTTTTTAACATTTCAAATATAAATTTTTTTACTTAGTTAAGTTTAAACAGGCTGGAAGTTTTAAATTTTCAAAAATTCACAGCAAACAAACAAACAATATAAATAAAAGACATTAGGTTAACATTAATGATTACTTTCATTTATTAATTTCAGATTGTGAGCGAGGATTCAGCTGCCTGAAGAGAGTTAAGACTGAAAACAGGAATTTTCTCTCTGTTAAAGTTCTAAACTATCTTCTTGCCGTCTCCCTTCAAGGACCCCCATTAGAATCTTTCAACTTTGAGAAGGCAGTCAATGCATGGAAGGACAACAAACCTAGAAGACAGGCCCACTTTTAATGATGTTAATATAGAAAAAAAAACTGAAATATACTCATTTAAATGGGACACACACATACATATAAATGTTGGTCACATGTTGTGAACTTGTGTTTATATATAATTGTTTATTTATTTGAATTGTTGGAAATGGAAAAAGTAAATAATAAAACTTAAGAAAATGTTTAACAAGTGAAAAGCTTTCATTATTTGTTTTAAAACAGTTCACAGCAGTATCTTGACACCTTAAATGGCAAAAATTTTCGGCACGCGGTATCGGGGTCAAGACCCCCTCCCGCACCCACCCCCGTCTAATTAAAAAAATGTAGCGCTTAAAAAAAATCCTGGGAAATTCCCTGTTGTGCAATACAAAAAATCTGTTAAAAAGTACCTACTAGAAAGTTATAAAAGTCTTTCAGAAGATATATATGTGTACAACTAATGTGTTAAGCACTGTGATCAAATATATTTTGACCAAAGTTAGTTAGTTTAGTTTTTTATCTTGTTGTTTTTTGTTTGTTTTTTTAGGGGGGGGGGAGGGTTAAAACTATGTTGTTTTTTTTTTATTTCTATTGACCCCATTGGAAATAAGCATTTAGCTTAATGGGCTATCCATAGGTGCATAGTACCTCTTATTTTATTTTTTATGAAAAAAGTGTGCTCTTTTATGCTGTTTTATGATCTCATTTTCTATATATGATTTATATATGTTATCTCTTAACAGTATGATTTTATATTTTGTATCATGTGCTATGTTCCTAAAATGTATAAATAAAATAAATTATCCGAAATCTTCGTCCGATTACTATACCACTTCAGAAGATTTAATTTAATAATGAATTGGTTTTAACTCTTGAGATCAAAATAGAAAGAACCTAAACATAAAGAGGCAATATTTTTTAAATATTTTAGGTCAAATAAGGGTGTGTAAGTGCCAAAAAAATAAAGAAAACATAAAAAGAACAAAACAGACAAAAACAGTTCTCAAATAGTTTCACAAGTGACGTGTAAATCTGTCAAGATCAAAACAGCTCAAATGTTATTCTTCACGTCAGTTTTTATGTATTCGTGAAGGTAGGATAAAGCTGGAGTCGTACCAGTACAATTTGAGAAGCATTTTCAAGTTCTCTAACGATTTGGTCCTCCATGTCGTTTTCCCGGTAACACCGGTTCGTAATTATTCCAAAGAAATAAATGTACCACACATTTTTTTTCAAATACGAAAAAGAAAAATCGATTCGTGAGGGGAAGGAATGGAAGATGCACCTCAATTTTCTTTTGATAATGAGAACTTAGAAATAGCACTACACATGATTTTTCTTATCTATTTATACAAGTTATGGAGAATGGTAAATTTGGTATAACTAGAAAACGTCTTATTGATCAAGCAAAGAAGTCCACGCCCCCCTAGCACCGGCTTAAGCAAAAGCTTATCATTTAAACACAAAAATGGTGAAATTTTGAATTTAGAAACATCCGCATATGTGTTCATACGGCGGTTATCATGGAACCTTTAATATGACACAGTAGTGCCATCCCATGAAAAGCGGCGTATGGTCCCCAAGTAAAAGAATGCGTGTGCCCTAAAGAGAAAACAAATACGATTTAATACAACATTGTAATTGTCTATGTTTAAAAAATTGAACGAAGTGTATAAATCTAGTTAAATTGTTAATGTTTCCAAACGTTATTCGATTAACCTCGGGAAAACATATCTATAACATGTGCTGTACCATTGTTATTACTTCAAAATAAAGGCATTTGATTAAAATATATCATCATTCGTCATTATTTAAGCAATGTATTCACATACAAGTTTACGTATGTATACATGTAGATGTCTTCATCAAAATTAAAATTTACCTTGTTTTGATCTTAAAGCTCCAAAAACCACGTAAAATCCACTTATATAATAAGGCAGACTGGGACGGTCTTAGGTTACATATGTCCAACCTTCATGATTCTCTTGCCAGGTCAAAAAGTTACTCCAACAAATCAGTGGAAGAGTTATGGCAAACAATCTCCAGGGTCAATACTTTCATCCCATCAAAATGGTCATCCTCCAAAAATAAACTCCCCTGGATCAAGGTCAACCTCAAACGTCTATATAGGAAAAGGGACAAAGCCTACAAGCAGTACAAGGGCCATAACTCAAATAAATCTAGAGAAAAATATCTCAGCATTAAACATCTCTGCAGAAAAGAAACTAAGTTAGCCTATCAAAATTACTTGGAAGATATACTAAACATTAACAACAACATCTCTGAAGAACATGAACAAACACAAACCAGACCAAACACCAAAAAGCTATATTCACTATTAAAACACTCAAAACAAGACTTCTTTGGCATTGACTCACTGAAAAAACACAATAAACTGTATACATCAGATCAAGACAAGGCAACAGTACTAAATGAACAATTTCAATCAGTTTTCACTTCTAAATCCCCTGTTTCTCTTAAATTCCTTGCTGATATGAAGGTACAGGATCAGGCAGATACAGGTAGAGAGGTTCCCCACACATCATTTAGCCCCCATAACCCCATGTGTGATATTGTTATCTCTGTAAAAGGTGTTGAGAAGCTATTAAAAAACCTAAACCCCCATAAGGCTGCAGGACCTGACCAAATTAGACCCATTGTGCTGAAAAATAACAGTAAAGAATTAGCCCCTATAGTGTCCAAACTTTTCCAAAAATCACTGCAGTCCAGCACTCTACCAGACATCTGGAAAACGGCAAATGTGGCCCCTGTCTTTAAAAAAGGTAGCAAGTCAGACCCAGCCAACTATCGCCCTATCTCTCTTACCTGTATCTTGTGTAAAACCCTGGAACACATTGTCTCCTCCAGTATAACAAAGCACTTTACTAGATCAAACTTGTTCTATGAATTGCAGCATGGTTTCCGAGAAAAAGGTCATGCCAATCCCAACTATTAATGCTTATAGATGATATCCTACAGTCAGTAAATCAGAGAAGCCAAGTAGACTTAATCCTTCTTGACTTCTCTAAGGCCTTTGATATGGTCAACCATGAAAAACTTCTGTATAAGCTGCATTTCTACGGTATAAGGGGTCAAACTCTTAAATGGATCAAAGGTTTTCTTGACAACAGGTCACAGTCCGTGGTGGTAAATGGCTCCACATCCAGCTCCATACCAGTCTCCTCCGGTGTTCCCCAGGGCTCGGTCCTCGGACCTCTCTTATTTCTTATATACATCAATGACCTTCCTGAATATGTCCAATCCTCTAAAGTCCGCCTATTTGCTGATGACACGGCCATCTATCTATCTCTGACTGTCGCTTCTCATTCTAGCTTACTGCAACATGACTTACACCAACTTGAACAATGGGAGACAAAATGGGACATGCAATTTAATCCATCAAAATGCCAGGTTATCCAAATCACAAAACGAAAAACAGTCATTCCAACACAATACCTTCTACATAACACCACATTAGAAACAGTTCCATCTGCAAAATACCTTGGCATTACAATATCAAATGATCTAACATGGAACAAACACATAAACAACATCACAACAAAGGCAAATCAAACACTTGGTTTTCTACGCCGAAACATCAAGGTTCATTCAGAAAGGTTAAAGTCAACTGCATACAAGACACTTGTCAGGCCCCAGCTCGAGTATAGCTCCACGGTCTGGTCCCCCTACACAGGAACTCTCATTGACCAGATAGAGTCCGTCCAGAGAAGGGCTGCTAGGTGGGTCAAACATGACTTTGGCCGTATGTCGAGTGTCACTGACATGTTGACTTCCCTTCAATGGAGGCGCCTTGACCTTCGGCGCATTGACCAACGCCTGGTCATGTTTCACAACAGCTTGCATGACCAGGTGGCTATCCCTTTCCCAAAATATATCGTCCCTCTAACAAGATCATCAAGAACATCCCATCCCCATGCATTCCAACAAGTCCAAACTAAAACTGATTACTATAAATATTCATTTTTCCCAAGAACAATAGTCCACTGGAATGCTTTACCACCCGATATCATGAACTTGTCTGGCCCCGAGTTCAGTCTGGCTGTAAGCCGGATTGAACATACGTCTCCCTAAAATACCTTCTCTATTTTTAACCTGTTTTTAACAATATACTCATTTCCATTACTTTTATTTACTTTTATTTCAGCTCTTTTACTAACATTCTTGTCAGTTGACGCGCGTCAAGTCTAGGTCCCCAGCAGGGGTTTGACTATATGGAAGATAGATAGATAGATAAATTGCAAACGTATACAGATTGTTAGATACATGTAGCTTTATCCAATTTTCAAATGTCATGGAGTTCTGGAGATATTTCTAGAATCATTTACAGTTGCAATGGAGATATCTCTAAAAGCATCTAAAGTTGCTATCATTGGCTAGCCCAGAATATAGATCTATCTTATTTGTTTCATTCTTTTCTTAAGTATAAATGATTTTTATAATGCTTTATTTTAATATTGTTATATTTAATTCTAGTTCTACTTCTTCATCGATTCCAGTACATGTAAGTTTCGTTCGGTGTATTCGGGGCATTCCAATACCCTGCGATTCTTACTCAGCTGTATTTATTCACCCATGACCGGTTTAAACCCTCCAGTACAAGGCCGTGCTCTACAGTTTGATTGTATAGCGCAGTAAAGATTTTATATATGACTTGTTTGTACACTACTGTTATTGCCCTCCACGTTTTCTTTTCAATATCCCATTTTTGTATTTATTTTTAATATTGTATGGTGCACTCAGTGTGTATGCTAATCACTTTCATTTGCCTCCTCCATACCCATTCCTAGTGTCCTTTCCGTTTGTTAGGCTTTTTATTCTGTTTGGCTGGATGTTTTCGTGGCTGTGAACGTCGCATTTTACATTGACATGACTTTAATTCACTAAATGTATGACTACATGTTTACTGGGGTAAAGCCAATAACAACTGAAACGACAGTCGAATGTAAATAGCTGTCTCGAATTAAAAATAGATAAACAGCGATGTTAAAATAAGATACTAAACTAGTAATTTATGTTACATAAATACCAGCAATCGTAAGAGATACTCTTACTTTATAAAAGATAAAAAGAAACATGCTATTTGCATTATAAAAAATACTTTCTACCACATAATTATAAGTATACTTCCGTACAATAGAATATATTTGTCTAAAAATATTATGACTGTTTCAGAAATGTTTATAGGATAAATATATGAGTTTTAATTCATTTTAATTAGTAAGTGATCATCAGAATTGTTAAAATTAATACCTTCAGAAACGTTTGCAACTTATATTAATCTTCAACAAGTTATGGTGCTATATTAGGAACTGATTTTACATTTATTTCAAGTTAGAATTCAATCAAATAAAGTTATATTTTGAATGGTATTGATTATCTCTAACGAAAAAGTTACTTGATGCACTTGAAGGGGCCCGAATTATGAGTATAAATGTTCATAATTTGAATGTATTTACATGTACATGTATTTTCATTTAGAACTGCATTTGAATAACTCTTGCCTTATTTTTTTTGTGTAGGCGATTTGATCATTTCACGCCATCGAATCCAACACTCATATCATAAATAACAAAACATAAATATTTATTATTGTCATTAAATAGTACATACACACTTTTAGCCATACAAGCAATGGTACATAATGATTGAAAGCAAAAATATGAAACAGTGTGAATTTCTTTTCAGAGGAGAAGCTTTAGGCAATTATTTTCTAATACAAATATGTAAATATAAAAATGTAAAAAAGAGATTGTTTACATTAGTTTATACCAAAACTGACAAATACAACATTAAACATACAATTATATTTTAATTAAAATACATGTACTCGTATATAAAAGACTGTGTAATGTGTAATAAAATGTTAACATATGACTAAAGAACTATTTTGATTTGATCTAATTTGAAAAGCATAGCTGTATTTTCAATATATTTAATTGATTTGCTTGACATAAGATTTTAGGATAGTTGACCAATTACAAAAATTCTGTATGTCTGCCTGTCTGTCTGTATGTGCATGTGCGTGCGTGCGTGCCTTTTTTGTTTCTATTTATCATTTATTTTTGTATTTTTGTTGTTGCGTTTTTTGTAAATAAAGTAAAATATTTTTTTAGAAGTCTGATATGAATTATAATGATATGAACTCTAGCTAACTACAGTATTGAATCTAACCCAATATTTAAGCTTCCTTCTGAAATGGTATTCTATTGCTGATGATATTATTTACGTCATTATCACGCCAAGTGTCAGTTGCTTATTGCGGCTAAAACATTATTATGCTTAAATGGGATAACATTGAAGTCGGAAGCTGTTACCGGCTTTAAAAAAAGAGAGATCATGGGTTCGAGCCCTAATCGGGTCACGGCCATGTTTTTCGTATGACGCCAGAACTGGTTGGTTCCAGGAAGCGGAATATTTAGAAGACAAAATCTGTAGCTGATAAAATTTGCATATGGTTGGTTGTTTTAATATCCAATCAAAATGTGATTTATGAAATCGATCGGCGTGACTTTTCTTTGTCAGCATTAACTTAAGATTTCTTTTTTTTTTCTGTTTCTTTATTTTTGTAACTTCGTTTCAGTCATGTGTCATCTATCATTCTCCGTTTTACATATCAATTACTCTTTTTTTCTGTTCGTATGTTTATAATATCCATTGTTACAAGATTTGTGAATATGTACATTACTTATTATTGCTAAATCAACGCTAACGTAATATCTGAGTAAAATACGTGAAGCTGGAGGTAAACTGTACGGCTGGTGGGACAAATATATAGATACCTTTCAGTTTCATTTATGTGCATTTGACATCCAAAAATCAACTGAACGAAAAGTAAAATGCAGATGTTTTCATGCATGTCTCACGTGCAAAATATAAATAAAATAATCCGTATTGAACAAATATATTAATTTTATTTCGGCATGCAAAATGTGAAGATACGATATTTAAAAGCGTTTATGTGTTACTTATGTTTCGGTTAAAAGAATTCCAACCATACGCCAATTTTAGGATTTGCAGAAGCGAGATTTTTTTTTGTTGTTTTGTCATTTTCTTTGAGTTTGACGATTGTTTATGTTTTCCTTTCGTACACATTTAATGTCTGATGAATGAATCTTGAAATTGTTTACTTTGCTATAAGGATTGTTATTGCATGTTTACAAAAGAATTGACAAAAAGTGAATACAACACAGGCGGTGGTGAATAAGATTGTGCTGCACATTGCAAACGGTGGGTCCTATTCCAAAAATGACTGTTTTGGGCATTCAACTTAACACAACATACTTATTTTATATTTGATTAGAACCGTTTTGAAACAAGGGCTATAATTTGAACATTTTTTTTGTGTGAAAATGTTTCATGCTTAATACCTAAGCTATCGAGTTATATAAGTTTGTTAGATGTTTTAAGTATTTACTACGCAAGGAAAAGCAATGACACATTTAGGTGAGACCTATTTTGGCACCAGGGCTATTTGAACAATTTTTGTATAGTTTCATTCGATGATGCTACATACAAAATATCTAAGCTCTGGGCATTGCACTTGAACAGATTTTTAAAGATTTCATTTTTAACATCTATTTTTAGCCCTTCTGACCAGTGTTCAATGGAGCACTTGAACCAGTGGCTTCAAAGAAGTTAACGACGGACGATGGATAAATTGTGATGTTGTGCATGAGCTAAAAAAGCTTTTGAAAGTTTTTACAGGTTTTCCCTTAATGTGTCTGCGCAAATGTTACCTATAGAAGTCTTTGTAAAATCAAGTTTCTCCCGGGACAAGGTCAATTTTACCTCAGGTCACGATTTGAACAAACTTGGTCAAGGTCCACAAGACATTGATCATGATTCATTATAAATACGTATGCTCTAGGCAGTACGACTGACCCACACTGCAGAGCTATAACTTTTGTAGGGTCCACAAGACAATTTTCATGTATTTTTGTTGTGATTAATGCTTCCGGGAGATTACACCAAACATTACGGTATTCCGCTTTGTCAGCCATGTTTGTTTTCACTAAGTCTGTCCAAAGTGAAAGTAGGCCAGCAAATACAAAAATCTTTAAAAACTTAATTCCAAATAAATCAGTATCTCGGACTCCCATTATTTTTTGTAAAAAAGTAGTGCAAGAAGACAATCACCATTTATAGCCTTATGAACTACAATTAAAATGAAAACACTATCAGACTTTAGAATCTAACCTTTATATTGTGTAACAGTGAAGTGTGTCTGTTTGTCATGTACACAAGAAATAGGTAAATGATGTTTATTTTCATGGTACTACTTTTTAGTCCCCTACCGGTTTAACCGGAGGGGACTTTAGGTTTACCCTCCGTCCGTCCGTCCACAAAACTGGATCCCGCGATAACGCAAAAAGTACTGAAACTATTTTTATGAAACTTGATATATGGATAGATGGCAGTATGGAGATTATGCACGTCTTTTCTTTTTTCTTCCTATGTTGAAAATTCTGGTTGCTATGGCAACAAATAGCCTGAATTTTCAAGATTTCTGATTTAAATTTTTCAGCTTTTTCACTATAAGTTCTTTATTTCTTAAGGTGTTTACTTCAAACTTTAAATGTTGAAAATTCTGGTTGCTATGGCAACAAATAGTCCGAAAATATGGCAAATTTAACACATAAACTGGATCCAGTAATAACTCAAAAAGTACTGAAAATATTTTTATGAAACTTGAAATATGGGTAGATGGCAGTCTGGAGATTATGCACATCTTTTTCTGTTCTTCCTATGTTGAAAATTCTGGTTGCTATGGCAACAAATAGCCTGAATTTCAAAATTTCTGATTTAAATTTTTCAGCTTTTTCACTAGAAGTTCTTTATTTCTTAAGGTGTTTACTTCAAACTTTAAATATAAGATTCTGGTCATCAACCACATCATATGTGACAAGGTTTACAACTCTAGCACAAAAATTATCAGTATTACCTCCCTTGAACTTAGAATTTTTATGAAAATGTTTTGTCTTTTTTAAATAACTTCTTTATTTCCTAATGTATCTACTTCAAACTTCATATATAAGTTTCTTATTATCACTCAACATTTTTGAGAAGGTTAAATACTCTAGCAAGACTATTTCCAGAATTATGTCCCCCTTGAACTTAGATTTTTTTTTGATAAATTGGTATTTTTCACTCCAACTTCTTCATTCCTTATAGGATTTACTTTAAAATCCCACATTGTAATAATATGACAAGGTTGTATTAACATAATTTCCTTACTAGGCATGGAAACTTAACACATTACAGTGATATAGACAAACTTAGAACTCAAAAGATTTAAGTTCATTCATGTCATTCATTCACTGGTAAAATTGAATGGCCAGTGGCCCATCAGAATGTTGCTGGGGTTCTAACCGGTAAGGGACTTATGGATTGCTTGCAATACTATGATAATTGCTTGTTTTTACATGGCATGGAGGCCATGTTTTTTCAAGGTCAGATAAACTGCTTTTTTAAGATTTAAGTTTTTTCTGCTGCAAAAAATACATTTGTCTGCACTAAAACTGACTCTAAACTGGATTTTGCCATATAAAACTATACAACAGATTGTACTTTGTCTTCAGAAAATTAGCACATTCAAGGTAAATTTTCTTATTGTTATCATTTTTATTATTCTTTAAAATAGTCCTTAAAACATAGAACTGGAAGTGTACATGCAAATGGCTCATCATTTTACATTGTGAGCTTTGTTATTATATGAATTTTGGCCTACTTTCACTTTGGACGGACTTGGGAAAACAAACATGGCTGACAAAGCGGAATCACCTTATGTTCGTGTGAAGTTGTACAGCTTGCCATTCAAAAGGCTAATGTATCAATACTAGTAAATGTAAGAAATACAAACAAAAACATGAAAAATAAATTACATTTATTTTGCAATTTTTTGCAACTGATTACAATTGTTATGTACAATTGCACATCCAAACCAAACTAATTTTCTACTCTATGACACAGGCAGTTTGGTTTGAAAATATAATATAAAATAAATGATGCAATCAGCACACAGTGAGCATTCACATGTTATAAAACAATACTAAGATAGTGTAATAAACCTAAAGTACTTATCATGAAAGAGAACATTTCACCAACATGTAATACATGGTTGTATAGTACTAACATGGGTAAAAGTTTAAAATGTCAACAAATCTTGAATTACAATGTTTTTTACTTAAATTGATAGCAGAAAGAGCCGAGTTTCAGGAGTATCAACATTCCAAACTTAACTTTTACCCATGTTAATTTATTGAACTGAATACTTAAAGTACATTATAGTAGTTTTTATTACTTATAAATTACCCTAAATGATAAGCAAATTCTGCATATCATCTATCTGCCCTATCTAAGTGCATACTTCTAAGTGCATTCAACACAGGTTGATTGTGCATGAACATATAATCATCAATCATTGCTAACATTACTTGAAACTGTCTGAAACATTTTCATGTTGACCAAATTCTAACAATTCGTGAATATTAATAACTAAGACATCAATACCAGTTTTAAATTGTTTCAGGAAACACTCCGTACTTAGTTTTCAGTATCTATGCACAAGCCTTGCATTTATTTTGGAACAATTTACTGCCATTACATAGGCTTGATAGATAAAAAAAAGTTTAAAAAAATAATGTTAAAATGGAATCAGTGAACACTGTAGTAAGGTGTTTTTATTATGGTTACCAATCAAAAGGGTTAAAACAAAACCAAATACTTGTAATAACAGTTGTTCACACAAAAAAATCATGCATCTTTTAGAAATATCTTTGGAAAAAAAAACTGTTAGCCTGTAACAATTATCTGCTCCATACAACCTGTGTATGGGTACCTACTTTCATTCCAATTTTATCATTAAAATACATTTAGCCAATCAGACATTTATGTAAACTTGTAAATTCTGCGACTGTTACATAGTAACAAACTTGTCGACAACTGACAATGATGTAAAGAATCTTACAATTATTCTACATATTATTACTTTTATACTTAATACAACAATTAAAGTAACCTGCATTACAAAACATTTTTCTTTTTAATACATCAATATTAACTTTTGTGAAATGGGCTGCTATGTATCTGGTAGTTTCATAATAGTTAAAAGGATTTCATTATCAAATACAAAGATAATACATCAGTAAGTATAGTCAGGTGAGATTACACACATTGTCACCCGAGTGCAGTAACAGGTTAACTCCTTTTCTAATTTAATATGAGTTAACCTGTTACTGCACTAAGGTGACCATATATACATGCTGATCTGGCTCTACACTAGTGAGATTGGACTTTCACTGTTGCTACTAGATTTCAACACGCTAAATAAGTCTACAAATTGTATATCTGCCTCATTGTATATATTGTCCACTGAAATCACATTCACAAGTGAGAAATATAACACTGTATTATAAAACATTACTGGAAAGAATAATTAATGATAAAAACCAAATTGTGTATACGTAACAATAAATATCTAAGCTGAAAGAATTGGAACTTGAGTCAGCACAAATACAATAAAATCATGTTTAATACAATCTAAAATTCCTCAGTAAAATATCATTTAGATAAAATCTCACCAATAAAACTCAATAATCATTAGTTACCTGCATATTGCTTTTCTAAACCTTTTGTCTGGCTTACCTTGTGTAAATGAATATGCCCAGATTTGATTATAGAACTAGTCATGTTTAAATGTGACTTCCCTACCAAAGTCAAGCATGTCATGAATCACAATTCTGGTTCTACACATTTAGCATAAGAAATTTTTATAAGATATGTGTCCATTTCAATGCAAACAAATAAATTAATACTTTGATAATAATGCCTGGTTAAGAAAGAGTTGGCGCCTAAAGTAACCTTTCCTATGTAAATGTAATTAAGAAGATATGGTTAAATGAAAGAAAACCTATTGAAGAAATAATTTAATTCAATTACATATTTATTCATTCTGCTAAGCCTGTTTTCTTTGACAATTTTGTTAGATTTTTTTTTGCTTTAAATTTCATGTTTTCTCTTTAATTATGTTATGAAAAATTAAGAACTTGCAGTGTCCAAAACCATGGAGATATTTATACTACCATTTTATTACAATTACTATACTATGTCTACATGTGATATAAAAAACCCTTACAGGAGGCTGTGTACAATCAATCAAACATATTGAGCAAGTTACAGTTCTGTACACATTATTTCGCACATTAACAAACCACTTCCTACACAATCACACACACAACTTAAACACAATCCCCCTCCCTTATTAAACAGCTATTACAACTTTAGGTGGGTATTTTTGCTAACAAGTTCAAAGCTTGGTATAAAAACACACATCACATAGGTGTTTACCAAAGACTTGATAATTTAGTGTGTTATTTATCTTCTTTCTTTTTTTTAAAAATACTCTTGGTACTTAAACTATGAAATCAGTTCATTAAATCACAAAATAGCAACAATGTCACAGCGCAAGTATTACCACTTAATATCAAATCTAAATACATAACTGAATATTTAAATGTTCAACCATGCCTTTAAAATTTAGATATGTAATGCTTATGTTTACAGGGAATTCAACAAATGGATAGAAAGCGAGGAAAAGACATTGTATGAAAACAACATACATTCATACTACATACAGACATGTCTCAAAGAAAGCATGACAAAATTTCAAAGAGATCAAAATGTACAATTAAGGGATTACTGAAAGACTTGTTTTGAAAGTCAGGATAACAATAACTACTCTCACACAATTCATTACATTAACAACAAATGAAACTCTCTTGTCCAAGTCTTACATGATACAAACACGTACATGCAAAGCATTTTAATACTTTTGAAAAAAATCTAGAATATCCAAATTTTGTTCATTAACAAAAATTTCTGTTTACACCATATAACTTATATCTAAATATTTTAAAAATTTATTCTGTACATTAACTCTGGAGTATTAAGACAATGTGTTGTTAATACCTCTCGTAATATCAGAAGTTATTTTTTCAAAGCAGTCTCCAGTAAATCTAAAAAAAAAACCAATCTTTAAACACACACAAAAACACAAACAAAATGTATATAGCTACAGAACAGAATATAAAGACTCATGAAAATAGAAATAATAATTAAAATAATTTATATGAATATACATGTATATACTTACTACACTTTAGCTACTGCAATGTATCTTACTATACAAATTAAATGTAATAACCAATAAATTATGCTGCCTCGGGTTACACAAAATAAATAAGTGGCAAACTAAGAATATTATGTCACACTTCAATTATAGCCATTTAAATCAGGTCCTTTAAGGTTATAAATTCATTAGAACATCTGTACATAAATTATTCATACATTGGCCAGCTTATTCTAGGAATAAGCTTACTGAATACTTACTTTTTGTACAAGATAGCATATACACAAATAACAGGTATTTTCACACAAGATGGCATATCAACGTTAATTTCTTAATGGTGCTTACAATAAATCAAATTCTTTTTATTGTGACATGTCTGAGCTAAACTCATCTTGCAATAAAGTTATTAATTCAGTTTTAACAACTAATTCACATGAATATGCGAATCTGTAAGATCATTTACTGTTCATTCACGAAATTGTTTACTGAATAAGTTTTATTACTTCTTATACAAACTATCTCATCAGTTACAGCTTATCATGAGCCCACTACGTTTCTTCACAGGGATGTCAACAAGTTTTCTATCCAGGAATAATTTACATGCAAGATTCCATGATAAGAAAGCTTGTTGATACTTAATACTTTGATTCAAGGAAGCACCAGTTTCATTTGACAGTCAAAATTTCATCGCCATCTTTAATTTACATTACACATACACACACTTTAGTTCTACATGCATCTTTTACATATTTTTCATAAATAGACAAAAACATTTTATAGGTAGTAAAGATCTTTAGGCACAATATGCACAAGAATTGAAAAACAGATTTTCAAAAGCACATGAATCTTTAGGCACACATACTGAAGTGATCTTAGTGAGCACATGTACAAGCAACTCGAATAAATCTGCCCTAACCGAACATGTCAACTTGCAATTTTACATGTACACGGTGTATTTCACCTTTACATTTTCACAAATATGTTGTCCCTCAGTAAGAACCTTTTCATAATTTGTTTTTCATCTAAAGTAAATTCTGCAGCTTTTAAAATATTACCTAGACTCTCCGATTCTTTATAAGCTATCCAACTGAAAACTTTATTCTTGCATATACATTAATCTATAAATAAACATCTCTCTTCATATATCTTGATTTACATTCACATCTAGTTCACTACTGTTAAACCATTTAAAGTTATTCCAGACAAACACACATGCCTCCTAAAATCTTGTACCAGGATACAAGTACTTTAGATATAAAGGCTAATTTTCTAATCATCCTACAACTTAAAGACTAGAAACAATTCATTAAATAGACATATCTTTAGAGTTAAAAGCACTTAAAAACAATACTAAAATCATCTTTAACGAATACTTAACAATGAAAGCACAAGTGATGAATATCCATGAACTAATTAATTTAAAATCCTATGAATATTTATGAGCTGTCAACAGCAACAGATCCAGAGGTAGAAGATTCTAGGCTGGGCTTTGCAGAGAGTATAATTTTTGGTACAGATGAACCAGATATTGGAATGAACCCACCTGGGGCTTTACTAACATAGGTTAAAGGGGAACTGGTCAGAACTTGAGGGGGAACAATTTGGGAGCCAGGATTTAGTGAAGCAGTAGCTTTTGTTGGTACTGGTCGAACAATAGTAGTTACACCTGATGTTCCTTTAATGGTGGTTTGTGGAATAAGCTGAAGGTTTGTGACAGTGATATTGGATTGGTTGCTAGGTAACGAGTAGGTATATACCCTTGGACTGGTTCCAGTGTTGTTTGCCGTTGAAGACGGGCTAAAAGTTACAGGTAACTGAACAACTTGCTGGCCACCTTGAACAATCTGTACATTTTGGGACATAGCTAGTGGAACTGTCATTGGCTGACCTATTTTCTGATGGCCTTGACCCTGTATGCTTACAAATGGAAGTTGCAAGAGTGTGGTTGGTTGATTAGACAGTTGAACTACTGTCCGGCTTGCAGGACTTGAAACAACACTAACAGGGCTATTTGTCACAGAGATATGGTTGGGATTTGAATTTGACACATTGAGCAAACTATTAGACTCCATTGCAGATTCATTTATAATAATTTCAATTTTTTTGCTAACTGGTTTCTGTCTGTCCTCTCCAGTACATTCCAACTGATCATGATCTAGATTAGATGCATCCCCTCTAGGAGCCATATTTTTCTCTGAAGGATTTACAAATTCAGGCGTTAAATGCAACGCCCTTTGAGGTGAAGGTTTAACGGTATCCACTACTTTCTTTCTGAACCTGATCAACGGGTTTTCCTGATTTCCAGAATAAGGTGAACCATCATCTTCTGAGCAAGGAGATGGAAAATCTAATTTAACCCTCTTTTCAGGAGGAATACTGTCTGCTACTCCTATTGGACGTTTAATACCCTTTTCAGGAGTATTAACTGTCAATATAGGTGTTTGCTCATTCACTACTTGCATTTCCTCTGAAGAAATTTCTTCACTTAACACTTCAGTTTCAGGCTGGACCTGTTCCTCAACAGATGAAACTTGTGTTGCAGCATCGTTTAACTGACCTTTACTAACAGGCACTGGCACTTTCAATGATCTAAGAACTGCATCAATCTGCTCTTTAGTGAGTGGGATAACTGTAGGCTGTTTGCCGCTTTTCACACCGACTGATTTAGTAGCTTTAATGATAATAGCTTCACTACCTTGTTGACCAGCTGATGGCGACTTTAATGCATTTACTTCATCACTTTTCATGAGAACTTTTCTCCTAACAAATCCTTTAGTTGGCAGCTTGGATTGAGAATCATCCCCACTCCCACCTATCCTTATTTTTGAGGCATCCAGATGTGATAATGTAACAAACTTTTTCTGTAATGCTGACACATCTGTAAATATTTAAGACAGTCAAGTTAATAACAATAAATATAATTAAAACAAGTATTCACATTTTTGTTACATTAATGATCAATAACTAGAGTAGAACTTGAAACAGAAAACATTTATAGCCATACACATGTATCATAAATAATTTTATTTGTTTTGTAGTTGGATGATAAATGTCCACACAAATGTGTCTTACATTCAAATATAAACTTTTGCTTAAAAAAAATTGCAATATATCAGAATTTCATAACAAAATGACACTAATTCCATGCATTATGTTTCAAATTTCTCAACACTTAAGTTATCATACAGCATATATTCTCTTCTCTGTTGGTGAAGAAAATTACAAGATATAATTCATATGGGATCTACATTCCTGATTACATTATAATTTATAATATGTAACTACTATGTATCATTATCACTTCTGAATATTTCACGTGCAACAAGGCCAAGTTGTTGTTGAAGTGAAGTTTGACAAACATACACTAATACATGGTCTACATAGACTTCTGCTTAATAATTAAATATAAATTGGCTAAACAGTGCCAGGCTCTTGCTATTTTGACAAAAAAATTATTAACTACAAAACAAAACAGATCGAGATATTGAGATGATAAGATTGCATGAATAATTTACCAGTACATTTTCTGTGAAAACCTTTATCTCATATAATTATCAATGACAACAGAAATCTAGATTTTACCATGAGTTTTCTCCACTTTAACAGGACTAGAGGGCTCTGAGGAGGCATTTAACTTATTGGTTTCAACAGATGCTACAGCATAAAAGTTCAAACAGGATGACGGGAATCCCCAAAATTTCATCCGAAACCTAAATTGAAAGTTAATGAAAAAAAAATTCTGTAACATGCAATTTAAAAATTAATTAAACTGCATTTAAAAAAACTATCTCAAAAATTTATATTAGAAAAATTTTATAATTGCTACAAAGCCTCTTTGTAAATAAAAAATAAACATGTTTTGACTTCACACGAAGATATGTTATCTAAATTTCTACACACTATAGATGGTCACAATATGAATAACTGGTATCTTTAAAGCATCACAAACATCATTTAGGTATGCATTTAGAGTAGGTAAGCTGTTCACTTTTAAATCAATCTGTTAAATCAGATTCAATCTTGTCCATATACATCACTTTCATTAAAGTTTCTATTAGCAATGTATCTGAACTATTCAGGATAAACAACAGACCAGATGATCCAACATTTTATGCAATCAAATAAAAGGAAAACATTTGCTGAAATACAGTGCACTCCGGATACAACGAGATCGTCGGGACCTTCGGATTGATTCCGTCTTATTAAACGGGGACAGAAAAAATTGAGAAATCCGATACCGGGGCGAGCATCATTTATTTCTACTTCGCGCGCATCCTTTTTGGAAAGAGTTATACTGGGAGGGTAACTCTTAGCAATCAGGAAAGTTTTTTTATTTTAAATATACATGTATTAAATATATCTAGCTAACAATAGAATTTAAAACAAAAACATGAAAACACAACCTACGTCTAACCGCGTGTGTTTTTTTCATTAATATGTACATTTTAAAGTTCGTTTTCAAAAGTCACGCAGTGCATTTCTCACGAACACCGATTAACACCTCAAGAAATTGGTTTCTACCGAAACCTCTCCTCACTGGTGTCCCCGTAATGTACCTACCGCTAATGGTGGGCCTCAAGAAATTAGCCGCTTTCTTTGTGCTAATCACTCAATGAAATTGTTTTGTTATAACAGTTCGTCACCTTAGGGACAATTTAGCCCAAAGCGCTGACAAGACAAGATCGACTGACACATTTGAGACCCATTATCTCGTCCCGCGTCAATAATTTCTTCCTTAATTGACCTTTCTTATTGGTCATCGTTGTTTTTCTCAAGTTGACAAACTGATGCAGACAAAGTGAAATGAAGTTATCTCGTTAAAATTCTTAAAAATACGCATGGGACGGTGAAATTATGTACGTTGTAAACGATATCTCGCTAAAACCGATCTCATTATAAACGATAAAAAATGAAAGGAAAATAGAAGGAAAAAGGCCGGGACACAGTAGAATGTACGTTGTAAGCGGTACCTCGTTAAAATCTCGTTATAAGTGGAGTAGACTGTACATTCAATTTAGCAAGAATTCTGCACTTACTATCACTACAATGTCAGGAGTATTTTAAATTGCACAGGTCAACCCCCCCCCCCCCATTTGTATATATTTGGGCAATAAAATGACAAAATAAAACAACATAATTACCAGTACTTTCTCCTGCTATTCCTGCTGTAACTGGTTTTATACTTTTGTACGAGTCCATAATCTTTGCAACTGAAATATAAATACAGATATAGTTATTTAGTATGGGAGTAGGGGTAATTTATTGGCCATCCTTTTCCAGCTCAACAAACCTCAGCTTATTTTATTCTCAAATCAATAACTTGACAAGGATTTCACACTGACATAATTATTTTGTATGGTCAAATGTTATAATAAAATATTTATAATAATAAAGTTAAGACTAACAAAATTACTCAAATTTATGCTCATTACATCTCACATTAATAATCAAACAATAAGTCACTGTGACCTTTATGGCTTTACCTCAAAAGTCCCCTACTGGACATGGGGTATGTAACTACCAAGTTTCAGAAACTTGGGCTATCTATTTTTCAAGTTATTGATCAGGCAATGATACTAAAACTTGGGCTATCTATTTTTCAAGTTATTGATCAGGCAATGATACTAGAAGGTACACCCTATCACTGTTTGCTCCCAACTTTTGAAGTAAACAAGCTTAACTATTCAACCAAGGAGATTCTTTTTTTTTTACTTTGGTTGAATCTTGAAGTCACAATGTAAAGGTCATATGTTGACTTTCCAGCTTTACTGGTGGAGGAGGAAGACTTCAGGTGCCCCTTATGAATTATCAAAAGCACAAGCACCCATTAAGCAAGCACTTGTACAGAACCATCACATAAAAGAAACCAAAGTTTCTGACTCGAATCAGTTCCACATCAGTGAGGGGCAAGTAATTAGAAGTTGGTGACTTTAACTAATCTCTCTTTGAGGCCCTCATGGTATAAGTACACATTAAATTTGCAGCAATGAATACAATACTTACCTCTATTATTTTGTATACAGTCTAACATGGAATGTCTAGATGTAGGTCTATGACAGCCATCACTGCAACATGCTGAAAACAATCCAATCTTAATAATTAACAATTCATATTATGATTTAAAGCTAACAATTACATTTTTTCCAGCTACAAACACAAAATAAATCCCATCATAAATGTTTGAGGATGTTCTAAGACATGCTTTATTTTATGCAGGTAAAAAAATGTCACAAGGAATCTCCTTTTACAAGGATTCAATGTTTTAACTTCTAAAGTATTGGTGGACAATAATATTAACCAGTGTCCTTCTATTATCATGTCTTTTATTCTTTATATGTTTGATGTAAGGCCTTAAAACAATTTGTCTCTGAACAAATTTCCAGAATAATACCGATTTTTACACATGATTTCTCATAAATGACTACACATAACTGAACTTACAAGCTGTGAATAAAGAGAGGTATTCATACAGCTAATCTAAACTTAAGCTCGGTTATAAATTCACTTGAACACGGTTGAGCAAAGTCAAAAGTCACATGAATTTAAATGTATATCATTTATAAAGAGTATGTTTATTATAAATATGAAGAACTTACCAAGTTGTAAATCTTTGTTTTCATCTATATCAGGACCTATATATTTAAATGCTGGTTTTCTTCCCCTAATCTCAGTAACATGGACTTTACGAATCAGATCCAGACTGGTCAATATATTTGCAATGTCATATAAGCGACGTATCTTAGCTGCAAAAAAAACATTAATGTAACATTATGTTACAATTGTTAGTTTCAATATTCAAGAGTCACACCCAACTTTTCTTACTTCTTAAGTCAAACACATTGGAGGAAGAATATTGTAGTAATGAATACTTTAAAAACAACAGAAATGTCTTGAACAAAGTACAATTAAAATTGCATATTTGACCTTAATGGTCAAGGTCATTCAAAGGTCATGGTCAGTCACATTTGAATTATCATCTTAGTTTTGTTATCATGTTCTTTTGTCCAAAAATGAATCAATCCATAAATAATGAAATTTTGACAATTTAAGCATAATTCAAATAATTTGACCTTACCATGAAAACACAATTTAAGGTCATGGTCATTTAGAATAGTTCAACATATCAGTGTTGTCATATGTGTTTCTTTGTCCAGGTATACATCAAATTTTTACTTAAATAACAAATTTATGAAACTTTTAACACTCATTAATTTGACCACAGAGGTAAAGGTCATATCAAAATAATAATGGTTTTGTCACATGCATTCTTTTGTCCCAGTATAACTCAAATCTGTAAATAATAATAGTTATGACTGTTTAAGCACATTTCAACAGTTTGACGGTATAATAATTTAATCAGAGAAAATAAAACAAGAGCCTTAAACAAACAGCAGTTTTCCTTACTTTTAAATTTGGCATTTTCTGTCCTATCAATATTAGCATCTCCAATTAACAACTTTGCCGAGAGATCCAAATTTACTGTCTTTGGCTGAAATATAAGTTTAACAAATATAAAGATAAGTGATTTTAAAATTTAAACAAACAAAACTTTAGACTGTCAAATTTATAAGAAACAAGAGCACTGCATGCATCAATAACCAATGTTTATAAATATTATAATCTGAAAAGGGACATAACTTTTAAAAATATTGCCTTGAAGATATTATCCCTTGTCTTACAACTGTGCCTGTCCTGATAATACAAGTATTACAAGTTAGAAGTTGAAAGATTTGATAATTTTATAAATTATCCTACTAATAAGCAAATTGGATAAAAAATTTTAAGTTAAAATGGGGCACAAAAACATGTGCCATCAAGAAGTTTTTCAAAAAGCTATTCTTCTTAACTAATGGACAGGTCCACTTAGAAAGTAAATTATAAAATTTTTGCACCTACCCTAGAAACTAGAAACAACATAAGAAACTTCTGACTCATTATTCCTAGTGATTTGTCCTTTCTTAAGGCAGCTGAAAAAAAAACAAATACATTATATATGGAATGTTTTTAGCCTTCAGGCTTCTTCAAATTGCATCAGATGTGTCTAGAGTCAAAACCAAAAAACCAGATTGTATATTTTACATTTATAAAAACTTTTTTTGATATTAAATTGTATCATCATTATGATGATGACTGGCATCTACCTTTTTTTTTACAAAATTAATATGATTAAATTAATCAAACATCCTTTTATGTTTCAATACATGTTTTGGACATAGCAACTTGCCAGCAAAAATTTTACTGAAGCTAACGCAGATGCCTTGGTGAGTACAATAGCTCTCCGTATTCTTCGAATAGTCTAGCTAAAAAATACACACATCCACCTCAAGATACAAAATCCGTCTTATCTCATGGGACAATTATGTCAAGTTAAACTAGAAACAGAGAATTATAAATGATAATTTAATCATAAAATACCTTGATTAAAAAGTGAATTTTCTCCAAATATTGAAAAGTCTGGTTCTGGAACTTTTTTGGTTCTAGGATCACATCTGCCAAACTGTTCCTCTAACTCCCTGTTAAACTCATAATCCTTCAATCTTTGTATTTGCTCCCCAAAACCTTCACTGTCACCTAGTGCCTGTAAAATATTGTTCAAGTTAAAATATTTACATAAAAACCACAGACTTTAATTACTTATATTTAGACACATTTAAACATAGTACATTCACACATGTTGTCAATTCTGACACAGACTTCTTATTCAGTAAAACAACAGATCAAAGTGTGCACTATCTTGTAGTTAAGGGCGTTTTCGGGAGTTTTCATATAGACATATAGGCAAAATTAAAACTGTACAATAGAATTTCTTTAAACTTGGCATGTTGTTAGAATATGATAACAGAAACATTTTAAGCAAAAAAAAATTGGGTTCACCGTTCTCGTTTTTGAGTTATCTGCCCTTGAATTGGACTTTTTTGTTAAATTCAAAGGCAGATAATTTACAATGAATGGAAACAATACAATTTTTTTTTTCTTATTTTCATAAAGCTTACCTTCGTTTAAGTTGATATATATGCAAAATTTCAAGAGCAAATTTAGAGTGGGTAGTTTTTATTCCCACTTCTTCTTTTAACCTGTGCATTTTTTCTTAGAAAATGGCCTATTTTTTAAGAATTTTAAGTACCTTTATTTTCATTGAAAACAAGGGTGCCATAGTCACAAAATACGCCCGTTTACGAAAGCTTTAGATGGAGATGGGGGCATTATGGATAAGTGTTACCTAGCAAGCAAATTTTTATCCTTGGCACTGTGTTGTTAAATGAACCTTAAAACAAATCAGTAGGGAAGATAAAAAGTACATGTAATTGTAATTTAATAACTAAAAAATTCTGATTTAAGATTTTATTCTAGGGAAATACATTTCATTACAATTCTTAATCTTTGAATGAGCTGAACTGATATTTACTTGAAAATTAAAATATAATTAAATTTCTATGAGAAAGTATTTACATTTGATAAGGTAATTACTGTATGATCTTTATGAACAAATACCAAGTCTACAGAACACCATAGTTATCACAGTTAAGAATCTTGACCAATGAATGAAACATGTGTAAATAAATGTTACATTCTTTAGAACATACTCGAGTCCAAGAAAGAGGATTATTTTATGCCCTTTGATTAAATTCTATTTTTAGAATTGAAAGTGAAAGTAGATCAAGGGGAGTAATTGTGTAAGTCATTTATGAACAAAGTAATAACTTTGTTGTCGCCCTTTGATTAAATTCTATTTACAAAATCTGGATATTTCATCATCTTTAGTGACCTTGACCTTGTATATATTGACCTAAATTATATGTATCACAGCCATAGTCTTGATAATGACCATTTGTGTTACAATCCCTCAATAAATGATGACTAAATGGTCCATATACACATCTTCATATTTTTATCTGAACTTTGACCTCTTTGTGTGACCTTGACCTTGGCCGCAAGGACCTGAATCTTGCACGCGACACTCCGCCTCACAATGGTGAACATTTGTGCCAAGTAGTATTGAAATCCCTCTATACATGTGGAAGTTTTGCTCCGGACAAGCATTTTTCAATGACCTCTAAGTGTGACCTTGACCTTTGACCTGGTTCATGTGCGCGACACTGCTCCTCATAGTGGTGAACATTTCTATGAAGTTTCATTAAAATCCCTCCATACATGTAGGAGATATGCTCCGGACAAAATTGGACGCCGCCCGCCCGTTCCCATAATAAGTCCCGTTTTTCAAACGGGCGTGGCGTATAAAAATTAACAGAAAGGATGTAAGAAATTGCATGTTATTATGTATTGTATCCAACAATAAAAAGAAAAACATAACCCAGAAGTAAAAACAAGAATTCATTTAAGTATGTATAAGTTATCTGCCCTTGAAATGACCTCAAATAAGTAGAAAACTCTGATTCAGGGGCAGATAACTCAAAAACGAGAATGGTGAACCCAATTATTTTTTCGCTTAAAATGTTTCTGTTATCATATTCTAACAACATGCTAAGTTTAAAGAAATTCTAGTGAACAGTTTTAATTTTGCCTATATGTCTATATGAAAACACCCGAAAACATCTTTAAGCATGATTTGAAGGAAAGAATGCTATCATGTCATTGTGGTATAAAGTTTAGTGTGCATTTAGTGATATGTTAGGATAGAAAATTAATCAAATCTTTCCCATAGTTTTAATTTTCATTGCACATATTGTTTATTCATTTTCTATAAATTAAAACTGACCAGATTATATTTTTAAATTCAAATGTTAACAAGAGCCATGTCAACATGGCCATCCCCCGCCGAATGTGTTTGCTCATTGGAAGAATGTATATGTAGTAGAGAGGAATAATTCCATTTTAAGGTCTTTTGGTAATGAAAACTGATGGCTATAGTGATTACAGATTTGAAACCTATGTGAATACTGATGGCTGAAAATAACAAAGGGCAATTACTGAAAAATAATGCAGGGTAGGTTATCATTCTTGTGTGCTGCATCCCTCCTCAGTAAAATCTATCCACCTATGAAGTTTCAAGTTGAAAAATAACAAAGGGCAATAACTCAAAAATAATGCAGGGTAGAGTTATCATTCTTAAGCACTGCACTCCTCCTCAATGAGATCCATCCACCTTTGAAGTTTCTAGTTGATACCTCAAATACTTTTTGAGATAAGCTCTGGACAAAATAGCATGGAAAAAAACAAAGGGTATTAACTCAAAAATTGTATAGGGAAGAGTTATCATTCTTGCGCACAACATTCCTCCTCAATAAGATCTATCCACCTATGACATTTCATGTTGATATCTCAAACACTTTTTGAGTTATGCTCCACTCAGGTGAAAAATTAGGTATGAAAAATAACAAAGGGCAATAACTCAAAAATTATGAAAGGTAGAGTTATCATTCTTGTGCACTGCACACCTCCTGAGTGAGATCTATGCACCTATGAAGTTTCATGTTAATATCTCATAGGCTTTTGGAGTTATGCTCTGGACAAAAATCAATCTTGAAAAATAACAAAGGGCAATAACTCAAAATTCATGCAAGGTAGAGTTATCATTCTTGTGCACTGCACTCCTCCTCAATGAGGTCTATCCACTTATGAAGTTTCAAGTTGATAACTCAAATACTTATAGTGATATGCTCCGGACAAAAATGTCGGACGGAAGGAGACTATTTCTATATCCTCCGCCGAAAATTTTCGGCGGGGGCTAATAAACATACCTTCAATTTGGCAAGTGTAGTGGGTAAGTTGGCTTTCCCATGCCAGGCATATTTGTTTTTAGCAACACGACTGACTATCTCCACACTTTCTAACACATTAACAATATCATAGATCCTTCTTCTTTCCACCTCTGAAAAAAGTAATTTTAAATAAATAAAATCTTACTTAAAAATGTCCATTCTTCACAGCATTAAACAAAATAATAATTTGTAAGTGTAGTTGCGGTACATGTGACTGTCATAGATTAACAATTGTAATTAACTTGTCCCTAAAGTATATGCTTTCCTATAACCGAATAAACAGTCATATTAGATGGAATTCTTATATAGTATGGTGATTTCTTTTTTAAAGGTTTGCACTATTTTTTTTCATGGTTTCAACTTGTAACAATGAATCATGACACATTTTGTGTGATCATTATATCTTGTTAACTGTTATTAGTGTCTTTGTCGAGTGATTTAACAGTTACTTTTCTGTTATTAGTGTCAAGATTCATGATGGTAACCTACTGTTTCTTTAAATTCTTTACTTAGTCACAAACTATAAACAAGTACATGTATCACTTGTTTAATGGGTATAAATGATCATTGATCAATTAATACTTACGTAATTCCTTTGCAACTTCGTCTAAACATATGTGTATCTTCTCTCCATATTCTGGATGCTCTGGGTACTTTTGTAAAAACCTGTAATTAAAGTCAAGCAGTGAATCAATTATTATATCTGTGTTTAACACAAATTCAAATGTTTTTTTACTTAGTTGAAGATGTTAACAGTTAAAAAAAAATCATGTAAAGATAGTAATTAATAATGAAATATCATTAAATAAAAAGAAAAAAAAGTCTCTTATAAAATAAATTTTCATTCTGTAAAAAAAAACAAATCATTCGAGAAAATGCATATAACATACTTTTGACACAATAATCCAAGTGATTTTTCTTTCCTAGAAGGTCCATACTGTGGACCAAGTTCTTGAGCACTAAGTTCTATGATAGTTTCAAATTGATAATCTTGACTGTTAATGGGACTTTCTTCATCTGAAGTAGCTTGTTTTAATTCATCTCTGTGTCTAAGTTCTGGACTCATAGCATTAAATAGCACTTTAAGATTAGCTGTTGGTGTAAGAGGTTGCCCAGGCACTTCTATCTCATTAGTAGGAGTGCAAGATCTATTTTGATTTTCATCTGAATCACTGTTCTTCAAATTTTCTTTGTTTTGATTCTGTGCACTCATGGCCTTTAAACTTCTATCTATTTGTTTAAGATCCATTCTGATAGTGTTTTTAGCAAAAGGAACTCTTTCCATATTGATTTCTCCGTCACTGTCGATTTCTGCTTCATTTAAAGATGACTTTATGTGTTCTGGGATCAAATTATCCACCTGACTCATTTCTGAAAAAACAACAAAACAAACTTATCTGTTATCATGATGAAAAGAAAGTATCATATCAAAATTGAAATTATAAATACTTATCAACAAGCAAAACCTCAACATTTCATTTAGATCCACTGTGAATAGCTGTAAACACAATAGCAGTGATCAATTTAGACTGTGTCATTGTGCTAAGGTTCCTCTAAAAATACAAATGGGCTCAATCTTTAGAGCAATTTTTGGCCATATCATTATCAGGCACACTTGTAAAGTTTATGTAGGGAATAAAAACTGTCAATCTTTTATTGTGATTCTGTGTGACAGTTTCAAGTTCAAGACTGCTGGTGAGTTTTACATTAGCAAAGGAAAATGGGTAAACTTACTTTAAACCAAGCTGATATTTTGGGGTAAAAAAAAAACCTCACATAATCTTTAATGTTGACAGTAGCATGAATTGAATGTGTCTCTCAAAGTTTTATATATATGTTTTATGTCATATATATTTTTATTTCTATATTCCTTCGTGAAATATAAACTAGTTAAAAATATGTACATGCCAGTCTTTTACTTTGTTGATTTTCCGATAGTACTATCTGGCTGCTTTTTACTATTCTTCCTGTTACATATATACTACTTTCAAAAACCTGATGAACTTAAACCAGATAGGTGAGAAACTGATAGACCTATCTTAATTAAAATATTGGTCATAATTATCTGATGTGGACAGTTCTCTATCTCTTGTTTGAATTTTAATTTGTTCCTGACACCAAAGATATATACTGTGCTCCTCTCTGTTCACGGTACTTAACACGTTGAAATCAGAATGAAAATAACAAATGAAACTTATGGCAGGGCCGGCAAAATGTGATTTTTGACTTACTTGTCCGTTCTATGTGAAGCATTTTTTAACTTGTCCGTATGATATTTACATAGTTTATTCTTGAAAATTTTCACTTGTCAGTACAGGCTGTGGGACAACCTGGGCAATACGGACAATTGATTTTGCCAGCCCTGTATGGTATATAAAAAAAATTTGCTATAACATATAGGTATTTTCTGCTGTATGGCAAAAGGAAACAACAATATATTCAATCAAAGTCAATTTTAAAGGACCAAACGTAGACCATATGTCGGCCATTTTGAAAACTGTATGTCATCATTTAAATCGCGGTAACAGTGTTACAGTTTAAGTTTTTTCACGTTTCAGTTAAAATTCCTACATATTATTTTGCTTGATTTTAAATATTAAAATCATCCTTACTTTGTACCTCAAAATTTATTTTTTCAACAAACAAGAACATTTAGAAAATGACGATGGTTTCAGACATATGCACAAATTTAATGGACTATTATTGCTTTTTGCAGAAATTTGTAAAATGGTGTTCTATTTCATGCAAAAATCTAAATATGTAAACTATTTTGCACAAAAACTTTGTTGTTAAGGTGTATGAATAAAATATGTCAATTCTGACCAATATTAACACTGGTCACATGAAAATATGCCATTACCGTGAAATAAGTATTGACGCGGAATTTGTGATGTTGAGAATTGTGTAAAAGAAAATGTTTAAAGAAAATTCTTTCTGAAAATAAAAATGAACATGTCCTTATTCTTACTCATATTCAAGATAACTAAAAACGACCCTCCAGTCTACGCGCAAACTAAAATATTTGGGCTTTTGGCTGGTCCTGGACAAATTAAGATCAGTGAAAGCATGCACACAAGCACGATATAAAATTATCTATTGCAATAAACATATAGATCTTAAATTATGTTTAAAAGACACAAGTACATATATCATATTCAATCCCAAAACTGAACAGATTAACTGTTCAAGCATAAAGATAAAATGCTAATAACATAATAACAAACATCACCGCCCCTACATTTTTTCCGCCAAACCCCGAAATCAAAACAAATGTGTTTGCAATAAAAGCACTTACGTAAAACATTCATTTCATCAGATAATAATGAAACATGCAAATTCTGGGGTTTCTGTTAAAGAGTTTAGAAACCAATGAAGTTATTTCAAGCAAAAAAAGTATAACAAAATAAATGTTTTCGTTCTTGACAGTGGTCTTGTCTGTGTTTGTTACACCGCGTTCAAAATTGGCGCGTGATTGTATGCTTTTAGAGCCCGTCTCCTGCATAAGTAAAACTGGGGCATATTTTTTAATCTTTCCATCTCAAGTAAGATGTTAATTAACAAATTAAAAAGAAATATCACAAATATATGCAAATCAGAAGAAACGTTTCTAATTTTACTAATTTCTTAATAAATATTACTTCGACAATAACAAAATTGCTTTATTATAATCTCTAAACCAAGGTCACGCGAAACGAGATGCGACATATTCGCGGAATAAATTCAACATGTCCGCGTACGTTGAAAATGGGTCAAATTCAAAACATTATCATACAATAAAACCACACAATCCGATAAAATAAACTTTCATTTCAAATAAATCAATCCTTCTAATTGACATAAAACAACTGACCGGTATATTTTGAGTTCTGTAGATGAAAACCTACCCACCAACGTAATATAGGTCACCACATCACAAATCCAATATTGAAATAATCTCTAATCGAATCTAAAAAATACTTTATTGGAAGCTTAAACACACCTTTAAGAGAATCATCTACTACCATATGATGCTTAAACGATAAATACATGTAAAATAACCCAAGAATAAGAAAATATATCGTATTTTCCCCAAAATTAGATAGGTACTAATTTGGACAAACTACGTCATGTTTTTAGCTACGATTGATTACAAAATGTCTAAAATACTTTACCTTTAGCTTTTAGTCCTTCTTATTTTGAATAGATCTCAAATGCTGGAACATAACATAACATTAAAACCTATACTTAATGTCTAATTACACTTATCAGCTTTAATATATGATAAAATTCACGGATTATTTGGCGCGGTATGATGTAGCTCCTAGGTGAAGGCGTATCCTCCCACTACCAAATATCCAATCAAATTGAATTCAGATTTACCGTAGCAGACCTCTAGCCAATCAAAAGCTGATTTATCCAGCGGACAAAGTTCATTATGTCATTTTAACGGGTCAATAAACACAGACATGTCTGTACTATTCATGTACATGGAAAAAGTACGGGAAAACGTGTCAAATCTGGAAGCACTAATAGACGGTTTGATGATACTATGTTTGGTGACCCAATACTTTTGTAAAATTGAAATTTAATATTATGCTTTATATCATGTAATATTTCCCATAAAGTCTACTGTTTTATTGAAAAATTGAAATCAATAGTTCCCAGATCCATCATTTAACTGCAAAAAGTGATGACGTAGAACACAATTTGAGTCTGAGAATGACTAAATGTAGAAGCTCTGTACTAGAATGTTTATCTTTTGTTTTGGACATAAATAATCACGTGTAACGAATTTTTAGACCAGATTAAGCCATTTTCGTTGTAGAAATTAGCCAGGATTTTGGTTACTTACCTAGTGCAACTTAAAATATATAGTTAGGAATGTTTTTCAAGATAATATGACACTTCAATGTTTACACCAGAATTAAATGGATTTGATGGCGAATATATATGAAATTGATTTTACATGTTATTATTTTTTAATTTTATCATGAATTTACATTATGTGAAAACTTGGATTTTTTTCTCTGCAGTAAACCTCTTGTGCAATGTTGCATATAACTGCAAAGTGCTTGCTTAAGGAAGATTATTATTAAACATCAATTAACACAGCAGGTGGTTGATAAAGGGTAAAGTGACACCTTTCACCTTTGATCAGTAACATTTGTTACATTAATCAACACCTTTGGTGTGAAGTGTGGAGGCCAGCAGTCTGCATTAGGGTAATCAAATGGACTGTAAAAATATTTTTAAGTTTACACAGATTTAGTAACATCTTTAAATAAAGTATTATTGAAAAGGCATTATACCCCTTCATATTTTTAACTTTTAGTTATAAATAATTATTGAATCAATTTGAGATGTTATTATGTATATATATATTTTTGACTGCTTTAGATAATCCAGACCAATCTGAATCCTGATTAAATGAATTAATTGCTAATTATAAATCAATAAGTGTTAAAAATAGAAAAAAACTTACTTAATTTAAAAGTAATAATACTGACTTAATATAGTATACATGTATTCAAATACTGATAACTATGTATACTTTTATTACAGATTAAATCACTGATGGATTTAAACAAAAAACAATAAAAACATGTTATAATGGCATCTGCAGGTTCAAGTCCAGCTAGATCACTAACTCAGAGACCCCAGAACAATTCCATTGATGACACAGTCAAGGTAAAGCTTTGTTTTTCATTGAACTGATAGATGATAGATTCATTTGCAGTGGCCATCACATAGTCCAGGGGCTTTCTGTTTGAAAGACGCTGTATAGTCCTAGAAATTTGCAGTGGTCATCACAGACATCACCCAGGCTTAAACTTTAGCCTGCTGAAACCGAAAATAAATACCCTTTGCCACCAGCATACAGACATACCAGCCTGCACATCAATAGCTTTTGATAATGAAATACCTTAAATTTTAAATTGTTTCATGTGCAAGTGAAAATTTGTTACAAATTCAGCAGGCTAAGGGTTGAAATATTCCCTATTTTTACTGAAAAACTTTCCTTTTTATAACAGGGGCTTCAAATTTAATAGACACTGCTTATAAAGAGACTGGTCTTAAATTTCTGGATCTATTACTTCCTATTCAGTTCATGTCCTAATTTTATACTTACTGATGTTAGAATTTTGAACAATGCCAAATAGCTGATGCCAGCAAATGATCAATCTTTATTTATTTTGCCTATTGTTTAAAATCCTTATCCTCAGTTTAAGAAAAAAAATAACACAATTTTGTGTGTCTGGAAAATATAGAAGGAGATTGGTTTCAATATTTATGACACAAAATGCCTCTTTAATTTGATTACCCAAATGCTAAAGGAGTTCTTTTGAATATTCCACAAAATAGTAATGTCGCTTCTTTTTTCAGGAACGTATTGAATAAGATTGGGAGAAGTAAATGTATATATCTATTGAATGTCTACAACATATTCATAGCTTTATTGAATATTCATGAGCAGTAAATGCATGAATGCTAAAATGGGAAATGTTGATGCTGAGATTTTTTTGCTGACTTTTAGAAGTGTTATAAGATACATGTTTTTTACATTTTATGTAAAGGACATTTCCAACTTTAACCTTTAAACAGTTTTATAAGTGAGTTCATTATCAATTAGAGTAATATAATGAAATTATTTTGTTATATCTTATAAATGTATTACCTATTTTATCAGCATCCAATGACATGCAAGTATATTGTAGTAATCATGGTGAAAGAGAATTGGTAAGAATCAGTTTGACAACAGATAATCACATTTCTATCCTTTTAGTTTGAGATGAAGTCTGTATGTATTTTGTTTAGACATGTCCATAGTTTCATATTATAGTTAAAAAAAAATTGTAAAGAATACGTCAACAATATTATACATTTATAGGCCATTTGTATTAGCAGTTTCATTATATTGGCATATCAGCATACACAACATAAGAAAGTATTACCAAGATATCACAATTTACATTAAAATGCATCACAAATGCAACAATACCAGAAAATTATTACCGGAAGCAGCAATATCTGCAAGTATTTCCTTTCTCGACTGCATGCAGTTATTTATATTAGTGAGTAATTAACCAGTAAAATAAAGAAATAAGTTGTTTACTTACTGCCCGATGTCATAAAATATGGATGATCGTCATGAACCACCATTTTTACTCCAAAGTATTTCTTTCTAATGTTAAAATCCACAAAATTACCACTGTTCGACAATCAATATAGTTACGCTTTTCATTGCATCAAAATAATGATTTACATGTTTTCACAAATATTTAATTTATCTGAAGAAATATGTTAAAGTCTGTCACATTCTTGTGTGTATTTTACTTTTTAGTTTTAGTAATTTGATTGAAATCTTAACAAAAATATCTTTTCTTTTGATGAAATATTTGTGTCTTGATTAGTTATAAATTTAAGATCTGTTATGGTCAGTTAAGGTCAAAGAATCTTTTTATATATGATACCAATAGTCCACTTTTTTTTATCAGACCCTATGTCTGACAACATGTAAGTAATGTAACAGTACTTTCAAGATAAGGGTCACATTGCACATTGTTTCAATTAGATAGTTTTTGTGACCTGTCAAGAAAAATAAACCTGTCTAAGTAGTGACATAATGTTGGATAATTTAAAAAATATTACCAAGGAAACAAGTTGCCTGAGGTGGAGTAACAAAATGGGGGTTCTTCTCATTTAGTTTGAGTTGTATTTTAAAAAATTAAATATTTTTATACTGGAAAGAGTTGTAACATAGAAAGTCTCACTGTACTTAAACTGGAAAAAAAATGTTCCAGAACAAAAATATTATTTTACTATTTAAAGTATGATTATAATAATTAAGCACTGATTTTGTGCATATGCAATTCATTCTTATAGAAATATACAAACATTGTATAAATTGCTTTAGAAGTATTCTTATTAGATTATCAAATAAGAATTTTGTTAATTACAAACAGCAGATATATAGCTTTAGATAAGATGACTGAAGCACTTATAACAAAACTTGAAATTTTCTAAATAAATTTTATTTGTAGTTTTGATAATTTGTGTTACATACAATTTGGTGAATATTAGTTTGATTTTATGTGAAAATGTAGCCTCTCTTTTACTTGTAGTAAATTTGACCTTGATCAGAGCAATCAGGGAGAAAATGGGTTAAATGATCAAGAAAGTAGTGCAGCTTTCATCATAAAGATGTTATCCAGAACTAGGCCAATGTGGGTTTTACCTGTCTCTGTGGTACAAATAAACTTTTACATTATAATAAGCTTGATGGCCCACTACCCGTTCACAAATAAGTAATCTGCATGTTGCGCTTACTGGTAGTAGTATTTACCAAGATTTATTTGCATGGGTTCAAGTTTTCAGGCATTTGCCTGAAATTCAGGTTTTTTTCTACTCCTGAAAGCTCTCTTTGTCTATATAAAACCAATCATTTTAATACTAAATTCAGGGTTTTCAGGTTTTCTGATATTTTCAACTT